TAGTTTTGAGTGTGGTAGAGCGTGTGTGAGCTGTCTTCTCTGTCACTTGGGCTGCTGATGCTCTTGACTACACTAGGAAGCAAACTGGGAAATTCTCATCATATGCAGCACCAAAGCAAAGAAAGCCACATATGTGAAATGGAAAGCAAAGGAAACCAGAGGGTGCTATTCCAGCCAAAAAAAAAAAAAAAAATTCAAATGGCTGTTTATCTCATAAAAGACCTTCCCATGACAATTAGTAATACTCTGTGCCATGAGCTGAATTTCCCTTAAAACAACTTCAACAATGCATTTTATGCTAATACCAAAATATATCACATTTAATAAACGCTGCTGACCTTCCCCAGATCAGAATCATCTTTGGGGTTTGGTTTTGCAAAACTTTTAGTACTGAACAAGGTCACTCACATCCTTTTAAACATGATCATTATGTGAGCTCTTTGGTAGGTATTTATTTCTAATAAAAAGACATTTTTTCAGTCTTTTCAGGCTTTTCAAGGTTGCGGTTATTCTGGTGGTGTTCTTGTTTTCTTGGTGGTGTGGAACGTGGGATAAACTTTTAGAATTGTTCCTATGCATTTGTTTTGCAAATCTTCCATAATAGTAGTAACTAGACAAGTTTTGAAGAGCTTATATGAGCTTTGTTTGGCTCTGTATAAATTCATGTCAGGGATTTTAAGACTGCTAAGGTCTTTGGTATATTTTAATTTAGACTTTTAATTACTTTTACTGAATAAATAGATTCTTTCATTTCATGGCAGAAATGAAACTGTTCAAATGGTGTGAGAGCTCACATGAAGAAAATTTTGATCAAAATATTCTGGGGTATCATAAATGGGCCAACATTTCTGAGTCAGAGAAGATTTTGTATTTCCAGATGTCTTCAGAGTATCAAATTTTCCCAGAATAAAGCCTGTAAGTTTCTTAGTGAAATCTAGGAGTTCCAGCTTGAGCAATACTTGGAACATAAAAGCAGTTCAACAAACTGCAGTGCAAACTCCCAGGAGCTGAGTCCCGAGAAATTTCTCCCATGAAAGCCTTCTTTTTCCTCTGAATTCATGCCTGATTAGAAGTTTAGGATTTCAACAAACTGGCAATTTCTGTTAAAATTTAAAAAAAGAANAAACTGGCAATTTCTGTTAAAAAAAAAAAAAAAAAAAAAAAAAACCCCCCCCCCCCCCAAAAAAAAAAAAAAAAAAAAAAGGCAACAGGTAAAGCTGAAAGTCTCCTAGTTAATTCTTATTTTGGTGTATTTTTTATGTTTCTGGTGTATGCAGATGTTACTCTCTGGCTCCTTATCTTTCCGTTGCTGAAGGACTTGGAAGGCAATGAAGTTAGTTGATTTGATATGAAATGAACTCCTTTAACTTTCCTTTAATTTGTAGGACTTTAAGAGATCAATTTCAATGGAAATAGTTACAGTTCTAGCACATGGCTTAGCCCAAGGAAGCAGCTTGTGAGAGCAGAGCTGTGTGAGCTGACAGAGCCCTGATGTGTCCCACATGCTCTGCACAGGGAGGTGTCTTAGGGCTGCTCCAGGATGCAGTGGCTGGAGTGCAGCAGATCAGCTCAAAACCAGTTTGGCTCTGGAGGGCCAATAGTTCAGGCATGTGGCTGGTGATAAAAGCCACTTGAGAAACTGCAGAAACTTTCCCAAAATTCTTGTGAGCTTCAGGTTCCAGAGGGTACCCAAGATAAACAGGATTACATGGGTATGTTTGTATAAGAGCAGCTCTGCAGCAAAGCATTCTTTTAAAATACTTCAATGGGGAAAACCTCCCCACGCTCAAGCTGGGCTGGCTTTGGTGTGGCCCTTGCCTCTTCACCACTCCCAGATATTTCCCAGGAAAAGACTTTTCTCTCCCTTCTCTTCCCTCTCCCTGCTCTTCCCTTTCCTTTTCAGCCTTGCTTTATCTTCACCTGTGTTTGTCTGTCACTCCAAACATCTGCTAAAAGAAAACCTCTTTCCTCTATTTTGTTTTCCTTTCATTTCTCCCTGATACATGACTAGAACGCTTAGAAACAACATATTGGAAAGCTACCAAAGAACAAGTAGCACTGAAGGAGGAAGTGTAATAGTTTAAAATGAGTCTTTGGAAATCTTTTGCAAATTGAATCAAATACATTAAAAAAATCAAAGAAAAAGAGGGAGACAGAACGGAGGGGGATCTGTAGAGGGTAGTAAGAAAGGGAGAGGAGCTAGGTGTATATCTGACTTAGATTCAAGAATTTCACACTGGAATCTAAATTTCTTAGTGAAATCATGTGCTTTTTTTGACTTCTAATATGCACAGTACAGCTCTGGTGGTTTGTGGCATACAGTATTTCCTTGACAGCATATTTCATGCTTCTGCATTGTTTAGTCATTCTGGGAAAGGATTTTCTTGTCCTCAATATGATTTTATATTAAGACAAAGCATTATCTCTTCAGTGAAATTCAGATGTTTTCTGTGTGACCATATCTGATATGAAGTGGTTTGGGAGGCCCAGGAGCCTCCAATGAAAAACTGTTTCAAACAAGTGTCTCCATAAAACTGGTTTATGATGGTTTCTTAGGCAACTTTTTCCAATCCTGGCAAGCCATGGCTCTGTCTTGAGCTGCTGAACTTTCTGATTTTCCAGCTCACTCAATAAAAACCTCACAATTCAGTGACTCTATATTTGATTAGAACTGGTGTTGTGTGTAAATAACACACCAAGGAATCCAGAGCAGGAAAGCCCATGGTATTCCTCTTATGGGTAAGATAATTTCTTCAGCCTCAGGTTTTTGATAAAGAAATTTGTCCCAAGATGGGAGGAATCCCTCCTGTCTACAGAGGGACACCCAACTCAGCCCTGCTCCTGCATGCTGAAATCAAGGAAACCATAGGGGCTTATACTCGTTTCATGACTGACCCTCCTTTATTCCTGTTTCCCAAGAAGGACAAGCATAATGCTTTTCTCTTCAGGAGATGCTTTTCAGAGTTGGGAGGAAAATGAAAATACTTGCATGAATGTCACTTTTTTAGGTTTTCTGTATTTTTACAATAAATGAAATGAAAATTTGCAACATTTCTTTTTTCCAAGAAAGCTGTGTATAAATGTTTGCCTTATTAAAAGTCTGAAAAAGTGAGGTTGGAAAATGAAACAGCATTTTTTTTGTCTCCAAATCTCCAGTGTCAAGTCGTAATGGTCTGTGTAGAACTCTCATATTACCCATATCACAAGACTGCAAAGTAAAATAAATTTAAATCTGTATGTACCAATGGTAAGGAATTTCTGAAAACACTTGATGTAGTCAAGGTGCAGTGTCTTGCAGGAACTGTCCTGCCAGTACTCCTGGAAGACAAAAGTGTTTATGAGAAGAATGGATGGAAGGTATAGTGCTGCTCACGTTTGGTTTTATGTGGCTTTTCAGGGATTTATGCTGGCTGGCATCTTTTCAAGACAGGATGCCTTCGTGTTGTAAGAGCTGTGTAGTACTGCAGAACAGAATTGCTTTCATTTTTTTAGCTGTATTAAATCTTAAGGAATAATCCAAAATGGTGAATTTGTGGAAACAGTTTTGCTTCCAAAGTTTCTTGCCCTTCCTTTCTGTTTCCCCTACTTTGTCCTTCTCCCTGATTCCTCCCTTAAGTGCTTGATACCAGCATTTTTAGAACCCAGTTTATCAGTGTTTGGTGAATGTAACCAGAATTCATGTTGCACAATTTTATATGAATTTCCTTAAGATATTTTTGTCTGCTCTTGCAAATATACAAAATCGTCCAAAATGTCACATTCAGTTTTGCTCTCCTCTCCAAATTCCTCTGTATAACATATGCAGAATCAAAGTTTCTTTTATTGCTTTCTAGAAGGATAGTCAGCACTTTTCAGCTGAGTTGTCACATCAAAAGCAGGTGAGGCACTAGAGCATGTGAAAATAATTTCAAGGAAGGATTCTGTTCTGTTCAGTGGTTTGTCTAAATTACAGATTAAATTTTCCCTTCAAGAGACAGAGGCAGGTCTTGAAATTTTAGGTTATAATTTATTTCCTCTTTTCTCTCCAATAGTAATGGCTATATATTGATAATTTCTGCCTACAACAAAAAGGTTTTTCAATGAAATATATGAAAATTTTGCTTCGGTCTTGGCAAGCCCTGTAATTTTAGCAACACATTTTTTAATTCTCTGGTATCCAGGGGCAGGGAGTGCTTGTGCAGCAAAGGGCAATTTGCACAGATTCAAACTGTGCACCCTGTCTTATGATTTCCCCTCTGATCAAGGAAAGGGCCACATTGGGAAGATCTAAACCCAAAAGGGAAACAAATAGTGGAGCAGACACTGGGACAGCTCTGTGCTTTCACTAATCAACACCAGTGATATAACAGCAAGTGCTGCCTGTTAAACCACATCAGGTGCTTTTGGAATTTTGCTACGTTTTTGAAAGGATGCAAATGTTGTATTGTTACATTGAAAACAATCAGGTTGACCCTCTGAAAGTGGAGCATCCCCTTTGACTTCGGTTTTATCATGTTAATGTGCTTCCTTAAACTCATCACAAGCTGTGTTGGGATACAGCTCATAACTCAATACAGCTGATTGAATTATGAATTTTTGATCAGCAAGGATGAGTTCCTAGATGCAAAAATTAATAGAAGCACCTCTAGTGGGATGAATAAAGAAAATGAGAATAAGGCTTTCGTCACCTTTCCCATTTGGTATCAGTTAGAAAGAAACTGAGCAGAGGCACCAAAAAAGATTCATACAATGAAGTTTGTATCACAGAGAAACCTTATGATTCACTTTGATAAATGTTTGCATTCCAGATGGAAATTTATATGACAGAAAAACTGTTCATTTGAATTGATGATATAATTTCCAGCAGAACAGCAAGAAAGGAAAAAAGAATGGGTTTTTAAATAAAATCCTTCACTAAACTTTTATAACAGAAGTAAATTGCTATTTTGTCTGTATTTTTGTCATTCCACAGCATCATGTTTCACCATGCAAGCCAAGGATGTGGATGCACAAAAATAAACTGCTGCAGTGTCTGCGGCTGTAGAATCAACTCAGTAAGTGCAGTCCTTCCCTTGCCCTCTGATGTGTCAAAACAGGAATAGTTAATATGAACAGAAATGGGAAATGCTGTGCAAAAGAGGGATGCTGCACATCCATGCTTCTTCCTCAGCAGCCTTTGTATATTAAAGGGTCTCAAAACAGGGGGGTTGTGGACATAGCATGATAGAAAATAGATCTTCCTATAGTGTATGAGTATATGCAAAAATTGTCCAGTAGTGCCTACCTAGTCAGGAAAAGGCAGAAATAGGGAAGGGAAATGGGTGGAGCCTGCACATGGCATGTCCAGGATGATGTGTAGCAGATCAAGGCTCTGTGGGTGCGCTGAGCACTCTGCAGGGCTGTGGTGGGCTCAGGCACTGTGTCCTGCACCACCTCCGAGTGCTGCTGCTGCTGAGCAAGGAAGATTTCTTAGTGACTCTGTTTTAGTGAGCACCACGAGCAAAGATGACTGCTTTACAAGGAAATTGCATGGAATTTGTGTTGAACCAGCCCAGAAATTGTTCATGAAAGTATTCTAAATGCCGAGGGCTGTAAATCTGTGTCAAAAACAAAATTGCTGCATTGAAGAGGGAGAAGCATGGCACAAATGTAAATAGTGTGGAGAGGGAAGAAAATTGAAAAACTGGGATACTCTGCTCAAAGGTGTGAAAATGTCCACTACTTGTAAAATCAATATAAGTGCTTTCTTGTCACTTTGCTAATTGCTTTAGAGGAGCCTTGATGTTGCAGCTGTGGCAGAAAGCAAATACATGGCTGTTAGTACCTGAGAATGAAACTTTATTTTTTCAAAAAAAAAAAAAAGAAAATTGATCTGTCTGTGGTTGCTGCTCATTTTATATGGTAAATTATATCTTGTATCAACAAGTTACTGTTTGCAGACTATATATATATTTATCAAGATGATTGTGGTTCATTAACTCCATGAAGGTAGTCAGATGCTAAATTAGCCTTGTGTTTTACCTGTTTGTGCATTTCATCCTCTTGTCTCAACCCAGATGAAGTGGATTAATAGCAGACAATGCCAGCTGAGGACATGCAAATTTACCTTTTTAGATGGATTTTTTGAAGCATGTTTTCTTTATTGCAGCCCAAAAGTGTTGACTTCACTGCAAGGGAGAAAATAGACTGTGTTTTTAATGTTGGTCCCCTGTACTAGTTTTCATATAAATCACTAAAAGAGCTCTTTGTTATAGACCATGAAAATGATTTTGCTCAGGACTTGACTAATTTCACATTTAAAATCATCATGAAAAAAGAGTTAGGAACTGATTTCAGACAAAAGAAAACTACTCTCACACTTCCAGATCTAAGATTCCTTTTTGGTGTCTGCTTGGCAATTAACAGCTGTGAAAATGAGCTCGTGGTAGGATGAGGTGAGGCACCAATTTACACTGATTAAAATTCTGGTCTCAGCAGGCAGGGCAGGAGCAGTGTAACCCAGCTGCCCTTGTGGCAAGAGGAGCTCTTCCCTCCTGGGCCACAGGTAAGAGCTGCAGTTTCTGTGACCCCAGGGGCTGGCTAGTTGAGTACAGGTGACACTTAACATTTATGCTGTGATGAGATTTTTTAAAAGTATTGTCCAGGTAAGAAAAAGAAAAGCTAAACCGAATTAAGAAACAAGGAAGAACTATTTTGCGAATGCAATCTGATGACAGGCCTCAGATCTCAGGTTTATAAATAAGACCTCATTTTCCATTTAATCTAACACATGTTTTCAAGTCTTAAATTTTATTGCAGCAAATTATTTTGTGGCTGTTTTCTTTTCCTAGCCATACAGATTAAATTCTGCACTATATTAGGTGCTTGTTAAATCTTCAGTAAGAAACCTATTAAGAGTTTACCATACTATAATTGTCATACTCCATTATGTAAAATACTTGAATATAGAATTTTTAAAAGCCAGTATATCAAATAAATAATAATGAAATTGTTAAAAAATTAATGAAGGCAGGTAGAAATGAAGGCAGGTATATTTCCAGTTTCTGTTGCAAGGCACTGGCAGTCTAGTTTTGCAGGTCACTCAAGCTCTGATACTGCAGAGCATTTTGCTTCAAATGCTGTGTGTAAGCCTCCATGAGTTTAGGTTCTGACCCTCTATCTCCCTGTGCCCTGTGGAAAATGAGTATTTGCTGCAGGGTGATGCTTTTCTGGGGCCTCAAGATTTTGAAATTGAATGGGATTGGACACATTGTCTGTCTTGTCTGCTCATCTCATAATCTCTCATGCTTTCTGTCAACTTGCCTATTCATACTGAATTATATCTGCCTTCACATGAAGATTGAGTTACATTTGTTAGAATCAATCATCTATAATTGATGACCACATTTGATTTAGCTGTTTATGACAAAAATATTCCTTTAGAGATGCCAAATTTGTATTTTAAGCCTGAAGTGAATTACAGTGTTTAACTGCAGTTGTTAGCCTATTTGCTATTCCAGCTGCTGTTTAAAAAACTTCTATTGTGAGTTTACGGTGTTGCAGGCAAAGTGCATTGCTCCTCTAAGAATTCAGAGGATATTTGATGGGGGATTACGTGACCAGCATCAGAAGGAACATACAGCACTGTGAGAATGTGGAGTGCTGTGTGTGACCCATAGAGAAAATGGTAACGTAGCAGCCAAAGTTCATCTGGAGGGTTTAGTAAGCAAATATCCACACTAGTGAAATAGGATCATTTTTCATAGCACTTTTCTTTCCCCTCTGGGGCCTGCTCAGACATCACGCTGTTTCTAAATTATTAAATTAGGTCTTCCTTGATCATCCAAAGGTCATGGTGCCTAATGTGTGTTAATGTGATGGAAGTGTCAGGCGCAATTAATTTCAGTAGTAAAACATGGGTTTATAGTCCTAAATGCAATAAATTAAAGTGTGCTCTGGACTGCTGGAGTTGGGGAAATTTCTGCACCATTAAGGTTTGATGAGGAAGTTCATGTCCTCTTTAGGTAGGAAGGGGGAACACCGGGTGGAAAGTGGTAGGATATGCTTCACCTCTGTGATTACTATTGCTCCTTCTTTGAGCGATTATACATCAAATGGACATATAATCACAAAATTCTGCTTTCCTTCTCAGGCAGAGCCAAGCAGTAGAGTTTTGCATGGTTTGCATATTCTCTTAGCTGGTGGCTTTATGTTGAGAGTATTCCAAGGCACATTTTAGGCATCAAAACATCTTTAATCTTGATTCTGGGAAGAGTACATGCTGTCAGAAACAGATATATTCTATACAGCTTGCTACTGAATTTCAAACTTCTGCCATGGAAAATTCAGGTACAGATAGCTGTGGATGACAGAGGTGGGTAACCCACAGGGGAGCAGTAAAACTGACTAAATTGGCATGCTCTGTAATCTGTCTAATGGTGCAAGATATTACGATTAACTGTAACTGTATCCATTTCCTGTCTGTAGGCAGGAGGGAAAAAAGCAATAGCAGCAGATAGGCAGAAGGAGATGGGTCAATTTTAATTGAAAATTCCAGTAGCTTTGCTATTGAAAGACAAAAAAGCAATGTTAATTGAAGTAAATATCACAGACAAACCAAAGATCTCTGTATAAGCTCATTTACATTTGCAGTATATCCTGAACTGTTGAAAATTTAGGACAATGTATACAGAAACAAGTACTTTCAGTAGCAAGAAAGTAAACAGTTTTCTCTTATGAAAAGTGATCCTTCTGGGAAAAATAATGCCCTCTTAAGTGGCCATTTGATGGTTTTGATAGTCCTGTATTATTCATGGGGAATCATTTTTCATGAGTTGTGGTTCATAATGGAAAAAGAAGCTTCCTCTTCTTGGGAAGAAAGAAGAGAGCATGCAAATCTTTTTGCACATAAAGGAAGTTAGCCAAAATTTTATGTCTGGCTTCCTCTGACAGAGGAATTCTCTTTGGTTGAGAGCAAAAATGAAAACCTTGAATAAAAACCTTCAAATATGAAAGTTTGTGACGAGCAAAATTCTCACTCCAGCTTGATGGTTCTTATTCCAATGTTATGTTATGCAGTTTTCCAGGAAAATCTGCTGAAATATATTGATGATACAAATAATGGGAAGCATATTTAATTTTGAGGTGGACAAAGAACAGTAGAGAGCAGTCAGCAAATCGGAAGAGTGAAGCTGAAAACGAGTAAATGCCATTGTGATCCCTTTGGGAGCAGTTAATCAAATGTATAAATATAAATGCAGAGAGTGCTGATTAGGAGATGGAAATGAAGAATTGATGGAGGGGAAGATGTAGTTTAGGGTGAGCATCAAATTGAACTTGACTGTATGAGTCGATAGAGCCATGAACTGCAATGTTGTAGTGTATAAACAGGAGAACTTGGTGTAGGGGGGCTGTCCCCACAGTGCTTAAAGTATACCTGGAAAGCCCCTGGTTTGGCTCTGCACTTGTAAAAATAATTCAAATTACTGCTACAGCAACAAGGAAAATCAAATCTGAAATATGTAAGAGTAACCTGAAAGATCAGGGTAATGAAAGTCCTTTTTTCTCTCATTTGTGTGAAGAGTGGCACAATACTGCCATCATATAGATTTAGAAAACAAGGTGTGTAAAGTCAACCTTTGTACTGTGTGGTCATGCTATTTAAAAAGGACAGTCTTTATTCCCTTTTCATTTGAAAAGGAATAAAGCTCCAGAATCTGTGGAGGAGCCTCCGCTTTCCTGGAAGATTTGAAATATTAGTTCTAACTTTTAACCTTTAGCTCCAGAAAACAGAAATCTGAACACAACAAACAAGGAGGTCATGCTACACTGGCAACAAGGATGTTAAACAAGCCCTTCAAAAGTTATCAGCAACAGCAGATGTTGGAGGCAAATCTTGCATAATTTCAACAGTGATCTGTTTTTTTAAGAAAACTAGAATTTAAAAAATTGAGTTTCTTTCCAAAACATGTCAAACTATTTGTTTATAGATAAAGTATTTACTGTGGAAAAACTTGACTTCATATTTTGACAAGAAATACAGAATGTATTCTGGTAGAATGTTTATCTACAAACT